ACTGGTTTATACTGGTTTATACTGGTTTGGACTGGTTTATACTGGTTTATACTGGTTTGGACTGGTTTGGACTGGTTTGGACTGGTTTGGACTGGTTTAGACTGGTTTAGACTGGTTTGGAACTATTTGGACCTGTTTGGACTGGTTTATACTGGTTTGGACCAGTTTGGATGGGTTCAGATTGGTTCAGACCAGTTTGGATTGGTTTATGTTGGTTTATACTGGTTTGGACCGGTTTGGATTGGTTTAACCCACTCCAAACTGGTCCATACTGGTCTATACTGGTCCATACTGGTTTATACTGGTCCGTACTGGTTTATACTGGTTTGTACTGGTACCTGCTGGGCCAGCTCGCGGGTCGGGGCCAGCACCAGGGCTTGTGTGGCTTTGGTTAGAACTGGTTCTAACTCATTTATACTGGTATAATCCACTCCAAACTGGTCCATACTGGTTTATACTGGTCCATACTGGTTTATACCGGTCCATACTGGTCTATACTGGTCTATACTGGTCTGTACTGGTACCTGCTGGGCCAGTTCTCGGGTCGGGGCCAGCACCAGGGCTTGTGTGGCTCTGGTTAGAACTGGTTCTAACTCATTTGTATCAGTTAATACCAGTCTATACGGGTTTATACCGGTTTATACTGGTTTATACTGGTCCATACTGATCTATACTGGTTTATACTGGTCTATACTGGTCTATACTGGTTTATACTGGTCTGTACTGGTACCTGCTGGGCCAGCTCGCGGGTCGGGGCCAGCACCAGGGCCTGCGTGGCTTTGGTTAGAACTGGTTCTAACTCATTTATACTGGTTTATACTGGTCTATACTGGTCCATACTGGTCCATACTGGTTTATACTGGTTTATACTGGTCTATACTGGTTTATACTGGTCTATACTGGTTTATACTGGTTTATACTGGTCCATACTGGTCCATACTGGTTTATACTGGTCCATACTGGTCTATACTGGTCCATACTGGTTTATACTGGTCCATACTGGTCTATACTGGTCCATACTGGTCTATACTGGTTTATACTGGTTTGTACTGGTACCTGCTGGGCCAGTTCTCGGGTCGGGGCCAGCACCAGGGCCTGCGTGGCTTTGCTTAGAACTGGTTCTAACTCATTTATCCCAGTTTATACCGGTTTATAATGGTCTATACTGGTCCCTACCGGTCCATACTGGTCCATACTGGTCCATACTGGTCTATACTGGTCTATACTGGTTTATACTGGTACCTGCTGGGCCAGTTCTCGGGTCGGGGCCAGCACCTGGGCCTGTGTGGCTTTGCTTAGAACCGGTCCTAACTCATTTATACCGGTTTATACCGGTCTACACCAGTCTGTACTGGTCCATACTGGTCCATACTGGTCCATACTGGTTTATACTGGTCCATACTGGTCCATACTGGTCCATACTGGTCCATACTGGTTTGTACTGGTCTATACTGGTCTATACTGGTCTGTACTGGTCTGTACCGGTACCTGCTGGGCCAGTTCTCGGGTCGGGGCCAGCACCAGGGCCTGCGTGGCTTTGGTTAGAACTGGTTCTAACTCATTCATCCCAGTTTATACCAGTTTATACTGGTCTATACTGGTTTATACTGGTCTATACTGGTTTATACTGGTCCATACTTGTCTATACTGGTCTATACTGGTTTATACTGGTTTATAGTGGTCTATACTGGTACCTGCTGGGCCAGTTCTCGGGTCGGGGCCAGCACCAGGGCCTGCGTGGCTTTGGCTAGGACTGGTTCTAACTCATTTATACTGGTTTATACTGGTTTGTAATGATCCAAACTGGTCCATACTGGTTTATACTGGTTTATACTGGTTTATACTGGTACCTGCTGGGCCAGTTCTCGGGTCGGGGCCAGCACCAGGGCCTGTGTGGCTTTGGTTAGAACTGGTTCTAACTCATTTATACTGGTTTATACTGGTCCATACCGGTTTATACTGGTCCATACTGGTTTATACTGGTCTATACTGGTTTATACTGGTTTATACTGGTACCTGCTGGGCCAGCTCGCGGGTCGGGGCCAGCACCAGGGCTTGCGTGGCTTTCAGCTCCAGCTCCACCTGCTGCAGGATGGAAATGGCGAAGGTGGCGGTTTTACCGGTTCCGGATTGGGCCTGGGCGATGACGTCATAGCCTGGAAAAAATGGGTGAAAAAATGGTGAAAATGGGAAAAATGGGGGTGTGACCCTTACAGGTGTTTTACCCGTGCCGGATTGGGCCTGGGCGATGACGTCATAGCCTGGAAAAAATGGGTGAAAAAATGGTGAAAATGGGAAAAATGGGGGAGTGACGTCATAGCCTGAAAAAAATGGGTGAAAAAATGGTGAAAATGGGAAAAATGGGCGTGACCATTACAGGTGTTTTACCCGTGCCGGATTGGGCCTGGGCGATGACGTCATAGCCTGGAAAAATGGGGGAAAAAACGGTGAAAATGGGAAAAATGGAGGAGTGACGTCATAGCCTGGAAAAAATGGGTGAAAAAATGGTGAAAATGGGAAAAATGGGGGAGTGACTGTACTGGGATGAACTGGGATGGACTGGGATGGACTGGGATGAACTGGGAACAAACTGGGATCAAACTGGGATCAAACTGGGAACAAACTGGGATGGACTGGGAACAAACTGGGATGGACTGGGAACAAACTGGGATCAAACTGGGATCAAACTGGGAACAAACTGGGATGGACTGGGAACAAACTGGGATGGACTGGGAACAAACTGGGATGGACTAGGCTATACTGGTCTATACTGGCGGGTTTTTTAGCCATACTGGTCTATACTGGTTTATACTGGTTTATACTGGGATTTTCTCACCTTTGATACACGGCAGAATCGCTCTCTGTTGAATTGCCGAGGGTTTCTCGAAGCCGTGGGACACTGGTCTATACTGGGATGAACTGGGCTGTACTGGGATGGGTTTTTTGAGCTATACTGGTTTATACTGGTCTATACTGGTCTATACTGGTTTATACTGGGATGCTCTCACCTTTGATACACGGCAGGATCGCCCGTTGTTGAATTGCCGAGGGTTTCTCGAAGCCGTGGGGCACTGGGGCTGTACTGGTCCATACTGGTCTATACTGGGGCGGGTTTTTTGGCTATACTGGTTTATACTGGTTTATACTGGTTTATACTGGGATTCTCTCACCTTTGATACATGGCAGGATCGCCCGTTGTTGAATTGCCGAGGGTTTCTCGAAGCCGTGGGGCACTGGTCTATACTGGGATGAACTGGGCTGTACTGGGATGGGTTTTTTAGCCATACTGGTCTATACTGGTTTATACTGGGACGCTCTCACCTTTGATACACGGCAGAATCGCTCTCTGCTGGATTGCCGAGGGTTTCTTGAAGCCGTGGGGCTATACTGGTCTATACTGGTCTATACTGGGATGAACTGGGGAGGGATTTTGAGCCATACTGGTCTATACTGGTCTATACTGGTTTATACTGGGATGCTCTCACCTTTGATACACGGCAGAATCGCCCGTTGTTGAATTGCCGAGGGTTTCTCGAAGCCGTGGGGCACTGGGGGGGTTCTGAGCTGTACTGGTCTATACTGGGGTGGGTTTTTTAGCCATACTGGTCTATACTGGTCTATACTGGTCTATACTGGTTTATACTGGGACGCTCTCACCTTTGATACACGGCAGAATCGGCCGTTGTTGAATTGCCGAGGGTTTCTCGAAGCCGTGGGGCACTGGTCTATACTGGTCTGTACTGGTCTATACTGGGGGGGTTTTTAGCCATACTGGTCTATACTGGTTTATACTGGGACGCTCTCACCTTTGATACACGGCAGGATGGCCCGTTGCTGAATTGCCGAGGGTTTCTCGAAGCCGTGGGGCACTGGGACCATACTGGTCTATACTGGTCTATACTGGGATGAACTGGGCTGTACTGGGGAGGGTTTTTTAGCCATACTGGTCTATACTGGTTTATACTGGGACGCTCTCACCTTTGATACACGGCAGAATCGCTCTCTGTTGAATTGCCGAGGGTTTCTCGAAGCCGTGGGGCACTGGGACCATACTGGTCTATACTGGTCTATACTGGGGTGGGTTTTTCAGCCATACTGGTTTATACTGGTCTATACTGGTTTATACTGGTTTATACTGG